CGTCGGAGTAGCATAGGCGGCCGCCAAGGGACGCTCCATCAACTGCTGTTGTTGTTGAAGTTGTTGCTGCTGCTGTTGAGCGAGTAGATTCTGCGTCTGCTGCATCATGTTCATCATGCGTTCGAGGACAGCGTTCTCTTGGGAAGCTATAGAGGACGGAACATGATCAAACTCGGAGTCATCTTCGACAGGACGATGCATATTCTTGAGGAGCAGCATGGCCACAGCCGCGGGGATGGAGTCAATCATGGTCGTGATAATAGCGTTCCTCCAATCTCGGCTCCGAAGTCCAGAAACGAAGTACTGGTAACGCATCTGAGGATCGTAGCACTGTGCATCATCGCAGAGGATTGAAATCATGTCACCCCACACTTCAACGGACATTCCCCGGGGTCGCTTAGTGCTCTTAATGTTCTCGATCAGTTGCAACGGGGTTTGACTGATGAACTGGTTGTGGAACCGAGCTCTCAGGGCCGCGAAGCTGTTGATGCGCGAGTACATCCACCAATCTTCGCCTATTTTGCCCTTCAAGCACTCCCGGAAAGCTCTGAGTCGCAGAGATTCGTCCAATCCGATAGTTGCGCTCTCGAAGGCCTCCCAGAATGATTGAGCCTTTTTACCGATGCTCCTTCCGAGTAGAGCGGTTGAAGCATACGGATAGCGTTCCGGATGTTAGTGGGCATACCATACTGGCCACTAGTCGTAGAAGGCGTGTTACCATACGTCGGTGAAGCATAGTAAGAGTTGCTTCCATATCCCCTATATGCAAGACCTTGATGGATCCCGGCAGAGGCCGTAGTCCCTCCGTTTCCTCGGGAAACTCCGGTTGTTCCCGCAGGGTCGACCCCGTACGCGATCCCTCCGGTAGTCGAAGTTCGGGACCCCGGGTCCTGTGTAGGGATTGGAACGGTAGGAGCTGAGGCTTGAGAGGGATCACTCTGAGGTGCGGCTACCGTTACCGCTGGAGAGTTCCCCACACCGCCTCGTATGCCACCAGCGGGCAGGAGACCCCAAGGAGGAGCGTTAGAGGTCCTCTGAGGAATACTCGCCGGGGAAGCACGTCCACTGTCCTCAGGGACAGTTGGTAAAGAGAAGAACGGATTGAAATCCTGCCCATACGTCGTAGTCGGGGTTCGGATAGTGAAACCTTGGTACGACGGGATTGCAGTCCTCACTCGAGTCGTAGGAGGGGAAGTCCCTACGAGACCGTACCCTCCGGTTCTCTCCATAGCCGCCGCAACCTCAGGGGGAGCCACGGACCTCAACCAGTTGAGGGAGTTGAGCCAGCCTTGCACAGTACCCCAGCCGCCTCCGCCGTCCAGAGTCAGCATCAGGCCCAGTTCTTCCGTAGTGATGGTCGCTGGGACCCCGGAGCCTAAAGCGTCCGCGGGTGGCTCGACACCAGCACTAGCGCTGTTCCCTCCAAGTCGGTTAGCGGCTTGGTCCACGATGTCCTGCACATTTTGGAGGCCTTATTAAGTCGACAGACTGGGTCGCATCCTCGAAGGTAGACTCACAGTCTGACCTTCCACACCTTCTCCGGTGTTAGTAGACGTCATCTCGTCCGTCCTTCTTACGCTCTCCGCGAGTCTTCACTTGAAACAAGACCTTCTCCAGCAAGCAGACTACCCTGCTTCTCCACCAGATGTCGTATACCTCCTCCCCCTTCAAGGGTCGGGTAGTCCGCTGTTCAGGGAGTACGGTCTTGTTCAGTGGCTGCAGGAACGGTAGATAGGAACACTTGTAAGATGAAATAGAAGTTTTTTTATTGTCTTGGCTTCCTTTTGAGTAGAAGGAGGGAAATATAAGACTGAGAGCTAACTGGAAGAGAGGTCTAACACCTTCTTTACCTTACATACACTACACTACTTCTCTTATACTAAAACGAAGAATTCACTGCACTTGTCGTCAGTCCTCGTGGGACAACGGGGAGCTCTGAGAAAGGGCTTGATGACGCTAGGTGCTTTGGTCCCACGATGCCAGAGACTCAGCGTTCTAAGATCACCTTATTGAACCACCCTAACGGGCTCGGTCTGGGGCACGTGAGCCGTCGAGTTCAACGGGAACCATCCTGACAGGACGGCCGGGTGAGGAGTAACTACAGGGCCTCGTGTCATCCCGCCGGGATGCACGGCTCCTGGAATGACCCCTTCGCTCCCGGGTACGGAACACCTAGAACACGCTGCATACCCGTTATAGCGGTTCTCTATCGCCTTCATACCAGCTCGAGGGATGCGTAAAGGGAAGGCGACAGTTTATATCTTCAAGATTGGTAATTTGAACCGATGAGGTCTGCCATTTTGAGTAGAATGATTTTACAAGTGCTCAGTAAACGATAGCATTTTGATTTTGTGTCTTGGATTTGTGCTAGCTCCAGTGCATAGATGATGAAAATTAAACAAATATATTTATACTAGCAATATTATACTTTTATAATATTTGTTTTATTTCCATTTATATTAGCCTTAAAAGTGTATGAAACAAGCGAGTTGGCACGCGAAGGAGTCGGAAGCTCAACGCGAAGGCAAAGCTGTAAGGCTTAAGTGGGTTTATCCGCCGCCCCATATTTTAGCGCTGCCGCACGTGGTGAATCGACTTGAGGAATTGGCACTAACTCGTAAAGAGGCCGTGGAAAAGGCAGCACGAGGAAATAACATGAAGTGGTTAGAGCAGTTGCTCAATGACTTTTAAGTGTGACGTGTCAGACGCCGTTATCGAGACTGCTGGCGTTGGCCGGATTGATGTTTTTGAAACTTCTGGTGCCAAGAGGAATATTATTGTGGAATGCGACATTGGCGGTGACCCATGCTGTTACGATGACGAATGCGACGATAACGACGAGCTTCTGATGGATGCAGCAGTGGCAGCAGCCAAACGAGGACATCTAGAGACGGCCGGGTTTTTGGTCTCCAAAATTTATTCTGATTGGAATACAAATGAAGTTTTGTGGCGCGTTCTGAATAAAGCAGCAGCAAATGGGCATTGTGAAGTGCTGAGGTTTGCCTTCCCCAGAGTCAACGAGACTGACTACGGTGACGAATTTCCTTGGTTGCCAGAGAGGTTGTGGAAGGATTGTACGGCTTTGACTCGTGCAATTTCTGGTGGACACATTGATGTCGTGAAACTTTTGCTGGGTGAGTGTTTCTGCAGTAGTTATCATGTCTGGGATATCAAAAAGGCACTCGAGCAAGCGACGAAGGAGGGGCAGTATGTGATTGCTGAGTGTATGTACGACATCCATCCTCTCTTTCTTAACAGGATGATGGGCCTAAGCGACGACAATCTAAGCGACCGCGTGAGCGGTATTCGGTTCCTGTGCAAGTATGAATGCGGCGTAGAGCGAATAGACGACGCCTTCATGATTGCAGCCCGCAGCGGAAAACTATAACTGATGGAGTTTTTACAGTGCACTCAACAGGTTTCATCCGACGTCACGGGCTACGGTTTCGTGGAAGCAGCTCGGTTTGAAAAGCTTGACGCAATGAAATTCCTCTACAAGCACCGTCGAATTTATCCACACTCGATAAACAAAGCGTTTGAGCTTACCGGTAGTCTCATGATTCTGAACTTCTTGTTTGAAAAGGCCGAGATATCTCTGGATGCAATGACTGAAGTCTTTAAGCATGTCACTGAGTCCAGGGAAGTTTGGCTGAAATCTCATGATACTACCTCGTTCAGGCGAAGCGAGGATCGAATTGGAATTATCAAATTTCTGTGTAATACAGGATGTATTCCTTCTGGGATGATCGACACGGCTTTTGTTCGTGCAGCTACAAACGGGTATGTAAACGTTATGGCAGCGTTGCACGATGCTCAGGGCCTTAACACAATGACGATAAACAAGGCGTTGATTTACCATGATCACGCGTCTATCGTCAACGTGTTGTCTACCAAGCCAGGCCTCTCGACTAAAATGATTGCCAGGGCTCTTGAGACTGCAGCTTCCAGGGGGAACGTAGGTGTTGTCAAAGCGCTATGTGGTAAACAACAACTTCCATCTGAGCTACTTGCCAAAATTGTTGAAGAAGAAGCGATGGATGGGGGTTCCACTCGACTTATTGAGGCCTTGTACGATCGACAGTATCTTTACGTGGATCCTATTGCCGACGGCCTCGTGAATGCGGCACTGCTGCGCATTAGCTAAGTTAACGCAATATGCAACAAGAAAATGATACTACCCGAGATACTTGGCGAGGTTTTCCTGAAAGCTGCTGGCCGCGGATGTCTTGGCATTGTAGAGCTTCTGTTTCCGAAACCGTGTATCACGTTCGCCCAGAAACACGAGGGCTTTATAGCCGCGTCTCGGCACGGGCATTCCAGTGTTATTTGTCTGTTTGATATCAAAGCAAAGTGGTCGCTCGAAACCTTTAACCAAAGCATTGAAAGCCACGAGACACCCCGGCATTCGCCACTATTTGTGCAAAGAGATTGGCGTTATTGCAGCTCGCCGGGTCACTGCTCTTCCAAGGAAACGGAAAAAGTTCTAAAATTGGGGAACTAGTCGTGGACAGTTCATAACGTTGTCTACAAAAATAAATTTGTAAATAGACCTCTCTCCGATTTTCTCTACTGGTAGCTGCGATGAATTTGAAAATTGTGACCGTCAAAGTCGACCTAAATCAAGTGCTTTCATGTTCTGATGTCTGCTTCACGCGCTTAATGTCGTGCGCTTGCCAGGTTGTAGGGACCATTTCGGAGTATAGCAAACAAAGTAGATGCTGCGGCAGCAGGCGCAGGCGACACACAAAGAAAAACTACAATGAACACAGTAATTTATAAACTACTGTGTTCATTGTAGTTTTACATTTTGTGTCGCGCAGCCTGTATTTAGCGGAAGTACATATTAATACATGCACTCTTGTTTTCAAACACGCTTCCGGTAGTCTTGATAGAGTACCGATTTAAAGCGTGGCTTAAAAAAAACTCGGCTTTTTTGTGTGGTTTACTGTTAATCAGCAACTATTACTAAGGTCAGTCGCATGAAAAACGTCTGCAGTTTACTACATCGCCTCGGCGACCTCACGAATCTTGGCAGAGGTGGCACGAGAGTCAGCAACAGTGATAGGAGTAGCAGCGGGCTTCCATCCCTGCGGGATCCTCTCGTCGATGAGAAAGGAGCGAGCGACGTCCAACGAAACGCTCTCTCCGTTTTTTGCGCCGAAGACCAGCAAGAGACCTGCCCCCTGACTGTACGACTGGGTCTTTTGCGCGTCCGAGAGGGAATATTTTGGCTCGTAAGATTTACCTGCTTGGCGGCGGTCCTTGTAGGCATTTCCCACCTCATTGACGCCCAGCTTATTGCTAATTTTCCCACGGTTGAAGAGGTCGTTGGCCAGCGAGATGTTGACCTCGGACGGGTCATGGCCGAAATGCGCGTCAGTGTGAACGAGTGACGCATCGTGATCCCAGACGTTATGCTGGGACAGGTCGCTAAGCGCGATGGTATCGGGCAAGCTCGCCAGTAGCGCAACCACGGCGTCGTCTCCCTGGTTCAAGACCGACTTGAGGGCAGATCCAATCTGGTCCTTGGTGATGCCTTGGCCGTTACGCGGTAGGTGACCGTGGTTGGCGAGCACGTTAAGTGCGGGACAGGGTGAGCGGCGGAAAGATGCCGTGGTGTTGAAGAAGCCCGAGACCACGTGTCCCGAAGGTCTGAAGAACTCTCCGACAGCGAGCTTGTTGGGGTCGAGGATCCGGCTGCTGCTCGAGCTCACAAACGAGGCGACAGCGACGGCGACGGCGACGATAGAGGCGCATGAAACCATTGCTGAAAGACTTACCTAAAAACTGGAAACTGAGAAACTGAGAGTGATCATGTTCCGATGGTGCGGCAGACGCCGCTAACACAGTGTACTGTACATGTACACTGTACAGCTGACTGTCTGCCTCAATATGTAAACTTATAATGTTTCTAATCCAGTACATAGTATGCGACGAAGCTACGTCACTTGCTTTCAGTACTCTACCACTCCATGACGAAACGCCTACTCCAAGTTAAAGACAACCGAGGGGGTCACACGAAGTACTAAAGGTGCGTGAAAGCTTCAGATAGTGTTCGTATGGCTACTACTACAACATGGAATGCAAAAGTGCTAACATCAGCTCGTAAAAGTTATAACAAAATAGACTTTTGAGATGACGCATGGCGCGTCACCGGGCTCTCCGACCTTCTATCACTACGTAACGTAGGTGCCATAAGCACAGACTTGTAGGGCAGTAGGTGTAGAGCAAGTAGGAATAGAATGTAAGACACGTGAGTGCCGGGCAAAGTACCACGACAGGACCACGGAGTTCTGGTGCTTGCTGCCTCTCACTCGTTGTGCACGCAGCACAGCAAAAGCAGTTGTGAGAGTGAGAGCTGCCAGCACCTGAACCTCCATGTTCCGCAAAGTTAGATTAGCACATACATAGTCTAAGATAGTCTATAGAAAGCTAAGTAGTCCATCATCACCTGCAACGCAGTTGCAGTTGCTCACCGCCACCAATGTCGTCCTTCATACAGTCCTTGGTATCTTCCGTACGCCGGAATGCAGTACATGCATAGACACGCGTAGGATTGTAGGTTGGATCGGTAGTACTGGTATTGCCAGTGACGTCTGGCACTGGACACTGGCAGACCGTAGCAAGTAGCATCTCACAGTAGCAGGATAGCATCTCACACTCCCACTTGATCTCGGCGATGCAGTGCCGAATCGACGCGATCACATCGCTTCATCCGTACACACACCACTGAGAATAGTCGTACGATAGCCACCACCACCGTAATTTGCTAGCTGCATAGTCTCCCACTCGAATCGCACATGTCCGTAGTCCAGCGCAGTTGATTGCATGCTAGTGTTGTGGTACAGCCACACGAAACTGGTTCTTCCAGTCGGCACACATGCACACTACATGTCATCGTCGTCAGTAATATCTAATCCGTCGTTCTTGACCGCATCGCAGGTGACGCAGTCAAGGTATCATGCATCGCAGTTGACGCGGATGTAGCCTTTTCATTTCCAGTGGCGGCCATGTCACTGTCTGCCACGATAGGCAGTACCTTCAGCATCTTTCGGAATCGGGAGACCTTGACCACCGCAAGTGGTTTGGTCATGATGTCCGCCACCATGTCCTTCGTCCCGATGTGCTGCGTAATGATCCGTTTTAGTTCCACGTTCCGCCGCACCATGTGGTATTTGTTGTCAATGTGTTTTTGCTTGCTGTGCTTGCCGGGTTTAGTCGTTAGAGAGATGGCTCTCTGATTATCTCCGAGTAGTACAAGGTAGTGCATGTTTCCACACTAGCTCTCGGCAGAGCCCTGCAACCACAGCAAGTCCCTTTTGTAGCTTCCGGCCATTGCAACGGACTCAGCTTCACATGTACTC